TTTGTGGCATAATAATAATAATAATAATAAGAATGATAATAATAATAATAATACTACTACTACTACTAAATAGCATTTATATAGGGCATGTCCCCACTTGAAAGCAAGCTCTATGCGCTTTACATCATATTATTACCATAGAAACTCTCAGAAACATTCTCAGCTTCCCGTGAAGCATACAGTGCAAGCAGCTGGTTAAGCGCTCAAACACTAACAAACTGACAATGACGAGATCTTTCAGTGTCTATAGCTGGACACCCATTTTCACCTTGGATACCATAATAATAATAAATAGCATTTTTATAGCGCATATCCCTGCTTAACAGCAGGCTCTATGTGCTTTACACTATATTGTTACCCCAGCAGACCATAGAACACTCCGAAACATTCTCAGCTTCCCGGGAAGCATACAGTGCAAGCAGCTGATTAAGCGCTCAAACACTAACAAACTGACAAGATCTTTCGCTGTCTATAGCCGGGTACCCATTCCCACCTGGGTGAAGTGAGGAAAATTCGTGTAAAGTGCCTTTCCCAAGGACAAAACGTCGGGTCCCTGACGGGATTCGAACCCTCGACCTTACGGTTGCGAGTCCGAGAGCCTAACCACTAGGCCACCGATGCCATGAAAGTCACACACTGGTGAAAGGCTCTGGGACAAAGGTCACTTTTTAATCTCCTAGAAGTGGAAAATTTAGAGAACAGTTCATTTTTAATTTCATTCATGATATGTATGTTGTAGACAAAAAAAAAGTGAATCAGAGTAGCGTAAAATCACTGGTTACAGCAAGTTTGATGACAAAATATCTTGGACAGTGTAATTATAATGTTTAAAAACAATACAGAGGAGGAAATGGTTTGTGCAGGTAATTAAAATGGACTATTGGCCACTAGAGTAGGTTTGATAGTATGACAGCAGTTTCATCCAAACTTTATTTTTGCCCCGCAGGGACAGACCGCAACAACATGGTGGAGCTAAGTGACCGAGGGACAAACTTCCCGACTCCGTTTGAGAAGTCCAAGCTGTGGCAGGACGTCTCTGTGGCCTGGATTTATCACGGGAAGACAGACATTTCTGCCAAAGACTTGGCCATCAACTTGGCGTCCTCTGGCTATTACAGGTACTTTTTTTTTTTTTCTTCTTCTTTTTTTTCTTCCTTCTTGTTCCTTCTTTTTCTTCTTCTTCTTCTTCTTCTTTCTTCTTTCTTCTTCTTCTTCTTCTTCTTCTTCTTTCTTCTTTTTTTTCTTCTTCTTCTTCTTCTTTCTTCTTCTTCTTCTTCTTCTTCTTCTTCTTCTTCTTCTTCTTCTTCTTCTTCCTCTTCTTCTTCTTCTTCTTCTTCTTCTTCTTTTTCTGCTTCTTCTTCTCCTCCTCCTCCTCTTCTTTTTCTTCTACTTCTGCTTCTTCTTTTCTTCTTCTTCTTCAACTTTCTCAATAAGTCAGACGGTAAAAATCCACTGATGCACACAAACTATAGTTCTGTTAAGATCCTTTGTTCTCCATGTATGATGTAGCATATTGCCATGTCTGTGCCCTTGTGGTTGTGAAGTGAGTCTAGTGCTGCTGCAGGATGTGATTGCCGTTATCTAGGCCCTGGTCACATTGACACAGGGGTGTGATCACTCAATTGTTCTTCTATACCCCTACTTCTGTCTTCTACATTTGACTTCCTGCAAATCCTATATGTCAGGTTAAGCATTTTCTGTTCCTACGAGACCTATACTTCATAAGTTTTTAGCGTTATATTTATTATAATTGTTCTGTGCCTACATCTGAATGAAAATAGTCTGTGTGTGTGTGTGTGTGTGTGTGTGTGTGTGTGTGTGTGTGTGTGTGCATGAGAAGAAATGAAGTAATAAGAAAGATTTTGAAAATGGGTATTCCAATGTAAAGCGCATTGAGCTACTTTTTTGGGAAATACGCTATAAAAATGTTATATTATTATTATTATTATTATTATTATATTTTGCATTGCTCCATATTATTATGGCTGTATGTTTGTGTTCACCAGATGTGCCGATGACCAGAGTTGTCCCGAGTCGGAGCACACGGATTACCTGGTGTCCACGAAGACCAAGATGAACAACCTGCTGGACAACGCGTCTCCGTCGTACGAGGGAGTCCTCCTCCGCTTCCAGAAGAAGGGCGTCTACAACTACATGTGCTCGCGGAATAATAACTTCACTAACCGGAGTCAGAAGGCTGCTATTATTGTGAAATAAGTTTTCAAAAAGGTGCTCAAGTTGGTTCCTCTGAATTGGTTGTTTTTTTTTTTGTGTGTGTATTTCAATGACCTCACATTGTCGTTTTCATTGAGCTTTAATCCTCCCCTAAAGAATAAGACATCGAAGATTTTAAAAAAAGTCGCCTTGAATAAATTATCAAAAGCCAGGTTGTGATGAGTTTTAAGTTCCTGAAGTGGAAAAGTCAATTTGTGAGGCAGCGTGGTGAAATCAGGCGCTCGTCAAAATAAAGAAACCTCCGGTTTTGACATTTTTATCGAAACATCTTTTATGTCCATTTAACAACACATGTCTGTGTGGATTTCACTGAAAAACATTGATTCAAGGCACAAAAAAAATAAATTTCCAGTTTTCATGGACCCTCAAGCTATGGAAATAACCAAACTTTGGCAGCCATTTTCTCACAAATTTTACCTCTGAAACTGAAACCAGGCTACATCCCCACCTCCTTCCATTCCAAATATCTCGACTTGCATTTAAGAAAACTGGGTATTTTTTTCTTTGAAATTAAGACAAATGAACAAGCTTTAAGATGATACCAATAACTCCACATGCTCAAAAATTGACGAACGCCTGATTCCACCGCGTCGTGACACAATTAATGTCTGGAGGTAGAGAGATCACCCACTGCTTCCTCGTCCCTCTGAGAAGAAAGGAAGGATGAAACATAAAATGTGTAACAGACTGGCTTAGGTGGAGTCTTGCCATGCTGTGGTTCCTTTCCTGTACAGCTCTACTCTCTACTGGTGTCAGGAGTGCGTTGGTTTGTTTAATTGTTGAAAATTATCCGTTCTGATTTTATTGAGTTTTTTTTTTTTCTTTTTGAGAAGTAACAAATCACTGTAGGCCAGATGTTTCCACAAAATACAATGGAGTGAGTCCCTTTAAACTTTAAACCATACATGGTATATCCAAAAACAGCAGTTATCTGAAAAAAAAAATCCCTGATTTTTTCCTTTGTTTGTTGAGCAATCTCTCTTGATGGAAGACATGGCTAAACCAAAGGAAACCCAGCGGCATCACAGATGCAGATTTCAATTTAATAAGAGACTCGACTGTGTTTTAAAATTCAATTTAATTTGAGTAGGCCTACATGTCATTTTTTTTAAGGAATGTTGATAATAATATTCTCTAGTTTCACTGAAGACAACAAACTGGTAGATCTGTCCCTGTGGTTTTATGCACCCCGCATAATTTAGCAAAATTTGATTTTTTTAATGCATAATTTCTGATTATTTTCCCTTATCATTCTTTGATAAAAAAAACCCCCAGAATCGCATGATTTCACATTTTTGGGCTCAATTTGCATAATTTCAGAATTTTTCTTGCATAAAACGACGGGGACAGGTAGATTACAAGCTGCACCAAGAAAGGCGTAAATGCACAAACATCATAATATTATGATTAAAGTGAAATTGTTTTAAGCTATGCAAGTTAATTTAATGCACTGTCTACGATTATTGTACATATATATTTGTATATCATCATGTTTTATTTGCTGCTTTATAACAGTGAACATGTGATTTATTTTGGGGTTAATAAATGTATTGTATATTCTTACAGGTTCATTGCTCTACGAATGGTACCTTTTTACAAACTTACTTATTATTATGTGTAGCCAACATTTCGACGGTTCAGTTTCAGAAACTTGTATGCCAAATTTTTTCTAAAAATCAACTTTTTTGCTTTTCCGTGGCTGCAGAGCTTTCTCTGCCACACATCTGTTTGATGTGAGGATCAGACTGTACATAGGTTATTAACAGTACGATCTTCACTTCGAAATAAATGTTGCGGAGAAAAATCTGGGGCCAGGAGAAAGCAACAAAATGGATTTGAGAAAAATGTGGTCTAGCCTACAGATTTCTGGAACTGAACCGTTGATTTTTTCTTTGTATGTGTTTTTTTTTTTTTTTCCATTGGATTAATTGCTCATGATGTCATTACAGTTCAGAGTAATTAATCCACAGCCAGGCAAACTTTGCTCGTCAAATGTTATTAGCTAACCACCATAATTATTATTGTTCCATTCCTGCTGGCTCAGGTTTTGGGGCATAATCATGTGTCATTTTTGTGCAATGTTCATTTTACTCAAATCTATTTTTGTATTCACAAACTTTTTTTTTACCAATCTGAAGAAAGAAAGTATCAAAGTGATTCCTTGTAATTGATTATTTGCTGATACATTCACAATGATACAGGGGTAATTTATTTGCAATGCTCCTAATATTAACAATCTGGGTTTTTTTCAACTTGAAGAAACGTAAATTCAAAGTGGTTCCTCGTTCTACAAGCTGGACCATTCATAATGATGTATATATATATATATATATATATATAAATATATATATCATGTATCATTTTTGTGCAGTGTTCATTTTCCCAATGTTTTGGTTTTTAACAAATTGATTTTTTATTTACAATTTTGCTTTTTCAACTGATGAAAAATGACTTTCATTCAAAGTAATTCCTGTTAAATGACAGCTAGCTGAACCATTCGTATTTAAGCGTTACATTCCTTCTTACGCTCTCCATGGCATTCCAAAATTCTCACCATTTACCAATTTTTGGATAATTTTTCAAAGAGGACTCTCATTCATTCCACTACCACTGGTGTAGATTCCTGTCATCACGACGCTGGTCTTTTTTAACTCGTTATGATCTCCGAGGGGAGTAAACCCTCTATGCCGGGGCCCTTTTTTGGAGCTGAATCTAAAAATGACAAAAACGTCACCAGATTGGTCACTAAATAGGAACAAGTAAACCTATTTCAATAGATCTTCATCTAATGAATAAAATCCCGATATAAGAGACCTGTTTTCAGCAATTGCCGGAAAGTAATTTGATGTCGAAGTTGTCGTAAAGGAATGTGCCTGAGCCACTGTCAGCAACTCACCAGCACAGCAGTTCCGACCGCGAGCCACTGGGAGCGGCTTGCGGGAGATAAAAGAGAGACACATTGAGGGCTCTGACTCTTGACATTAGCGTCCTCTCCATCAGTGGGTTCCTTGTCTTGGAAAATGCAGATTATGTTGACGATATCACATTTCTGGGGTTTCACATCTGTTATCGGTGGATCTAGGTTTCTAACGCAACTTATTGATTACTAGCTGCGCCCCCTTTCGATGAAAGGAATGATCAGCGGTGCCTATACGTTCTTATACTAACCGTTCTCTGACCGTCTAGGCCGGTGCTTTAATATCAACTAAAAGTCATTGGCCAACTATATTTACACTCTAATAGAATGGGGCAATAAATCTTGAGAGATGCAAAAACATTAAAAGGTGTAGATCTATACTCTCAAAACAAAACGCGCCTCGCGAAATATCACTTCCGGATTTTCTAAAATTGCAGAGACAGAAGCGTCGGCCTACAAAAGCGATCGGCGAAATAAAGAAATTTAGCTTTTTGCAGCAAAACTGTCTCAAAACTGAAAAATCCAAGGGCGCCATGCTCTGGAGAATATTTTAAAGAATTTTTTGGCGAAAACCGCATGTCGATCGATGCAGCCATTAAAAAGCCTTTTGAATAGCAAAATTCAGCCTCCACAAATAGATAATAGATACCTGTATAATCAATAAGTTGCGTTAAAAACCTAGATCTATCAAGAGCAGATGTGAAACCCCAGAAATGTGATATTGTCAACATAATATGCATTTTAATTATAATAATATTATTATTATTATTACCCTCTTGTGTTTTTCCCCCTGAATTTTGAGGATCACTACGCAGTGTTTGTTTTTTGGCTGAACACAATGTCAAGCTGAATGTACTATAACATATAAGTAAGCCATTTTCTTGCTTAGTTTTTTATTTTCCAATTTAATATTTTCCTCTGTGTGTGTGTGTGTGTGTATGTGTGTGTGTGTGTGTGTGTGTGTTTGTGTGTATGTATGTGTGTGTGGGTTGGATAGAAAGACTGAGCAGAAAGAAAAGAGTTTGGAAGAGTGAAAGGAAAAAATATTTTAAGGTTGTTTATTAATGGGCATGAAAAAATAAAAGGATTTCGAATACATAAGATGTGACAGCTTTTCTTTTGAACAGATTGAAAGTCAAAAGATATGGGGGTGGGGGTGGTTCTTTTTAGCCTGTCGATAATTGAGATACGGTTTTATTTTCAAGACTTTTTGATCTAGAGGTAGGAGTTGCCACGAACAATTTTATTCTCTAAAATGTTCTCCTTTCAAGTCCTTTCCTGTTCTCTAGTCCACTTTTGTCATCTGCTTTCATCTCTTCTTTATAATCCCTCCCTCTCCTCAAAATCCCCATCCTCCTCTGTGGGGGGTTGGCGGGTGCTCTGGTGTGGTTTGCTCTTTCTTTCCTATCAAACAACTATCGTCCTGATCTCTCCTTTTTTGTGTTTGTTACTCTCTTGTAACACCTCTATCTCTAATCTTCGGCACTTACATGACCATATTGTGTTGCAAGTGCCGTAAAAATTTGCAAAAACTAAAACATCCTCCTCTGTACTCCTTTCTTCCTTACCCTTGACTCTTTCTACTGCTTCTCCTGGCTCTTTCTTCCTGCCATCCACACGCTCAGTCTTAATGCAGGCAACATTGAACACCTAATGTGACCTAGACTTTTTGTATAAGGGTGACAAAATCTCGGAGGTCTTATGTGCAAGTTGTGCACATTAAAGATCTCTTGATGGTCCCAAAATTGATAAGAGTAGGCTTTGGCCACCACCCGGTCAAATTAATTCCTATCAAAATTGAGAATACTCTCGTCAGTATAAAGATATGGTAACTTTGAAATCAGAATGTGGTTACTTGAATGCAAGGGGCTCTTTGAATTAGGAAAAGCGTAAGAATTTGTACAATGTAGTGGTGCATTCATACCAACATTATGCTACCAGTGCCAGACTTGGACATTAAGTAAGTAAAACTCGTGAAAGCAAAATGGCTGCATACTAAATGAAATGTCTCCGCAAAACCCTTAACATCACAAGAAGAGACAGGTAGAGAAGTGAAGAAATAAGAGCAGCTATCAGCACTGAATCCTGCCTGCATTACATAGAAAGACAGAGGATAAAAATAAATGGTTTGGCCACCTGTTACGTATGTCACCTGGCCAGCCAGCCTCGAGAGCCTACAACACCAAGCACTCAGGCTATAAAGGATGAGGAAGGCCAAGCAAAAGGTGGATTGAGGGTGTCAAGGAAACCCTCAGAAAACATAATATCACAACTGAAAGAGCTGCTGAGCTGGCCTACCATAGAAAACTGCATCTCCCCTCGACGCTTAACGGCAACAGGATGAAAAA